ATATATATATATATATATATATATATATATATATATATATATATATATATATATATAAATTCCTCTATCTTTCCTTTGTACAAATCTATAAACATATTATATATTTAATATGGTAGGTAGTGCACTTTAATTTGTAATATGAATTATAGGGCACACCATGTATAGTAATTCTATAAGTTATTAACGTAACTCTATCACGCGATGCGTAGAGGGCCGAGCGATGGGCTTCCAATTGCTATTCGTTGAAAAGGCGTCAGTTAATATCGAGTTATCGTAGACCTATCGTCGAAGTCGATTCAAGACATTCGCCGACGATCAGTGTCAAAGATACTGTGCATTTTTCTCATTAAATGGAAGATCTCTCGAAAATTTATACCAAACATATATCTATCGCGTCCACGTGGTAATTATAAATAGGTCAGGATGTGCTCTCGCGAACTGCTGCGCGTGTGAAATAAAAGTAATCGACTCGTTTCAGTCGCTAATAAAATAACAATCTAATTTTTCCTTACACAAGTGAAATATTTCCATACTCTGAGCTACGAACAAGTCTACTTGGAGTAGATAATTCTAATAGCGCCGCAAGTGTCATAACTAATTATTGATATAAGCTAAGCTTATTTCGAACGTAGCGTTTACTTCAATCAATTTGTGAAAATTACTTTAACATTTACCTGAAGTAGATCCTTACATTACGTGATTCTATCAATTGAAACACATTTTGCATTCTACAAATTTCACATAAAATTCCTTACAGAAGGCTTATCTTCGTCATTCCATTTCAGTTCACCATTTTTCGCGCTTTTTTTATAAAATATCTCATAATTTTTATAAATGGATTGCGTATATTGAGGTATGCCATCAGTATTAGTTAAGTATCACCCGTTAGAGTAAGGCGTCTCACAGAATCGTGGGAGATCTAAAATCTGCATTTGTAATTGATGTCGCATTGGTCGTGAAAAGATCATTCGGCCAGATACAATGTGTTTTCGGCTTGTTAGCTTTCTCTTAATGCTGTTGCACGAGAGTAGGCCCGTTGCCGGGATTTCTCCAAGGATCTGGTATGTCGAAATGCGCGGGAACAGTGATCAGAGCGTCGGCCGCGGTGCGATCACCGCTGCAATTCTTCGGCTTGACGCGGGTGGTGTCAACGCACTCGATCGGCAGCTTAACAAACTCGAGCTTGTAGTAGTGGCCCTGGCTGGTGAGACGAATTATCGTGTGCAACGGCACTTCCATATAGGGTAGCTCCTCGGGTTTCTTGTCGAGGAAGAAGCCGATGATGCACCGCAGGACCGCCTGGTGCGACACCACGAGCACGTTGTTCGAACGTTGCAGCTCGGCAATCACCGGCTCGACGCGTTGCATTGCATCGATGTAGCTCTCACCCCATGGATAACGATAACGCAGCTTGTCCTGATCACGCCACGCGAATTCCTGTCGTGAAGTTGCATTGGCTCAATGAATATAGTCGCGAATATCGCGCAATCAACGACTATCCTCGATAAAAATCGGTGCAACGACTATCTTCGATAAAAACCTGGACATTTCAACATTGAACTTTGGTCTATGAGTTGAAACTAAGCTAAGCATTTGTCGCTGTCGACCAGCGATCGTAAATTCGCCACGTAAAGTCCCATCTAATTAATCCAAGTTTGTCTCGACAGTTTAGAAACACCGATGAGCGATTACCTGCGGATAGTGCTCCTGCATCTCCTCATAAGAGAGACCCTCGCATACCCCGGCGTGAAGCTCGTTCAAAGCGACCACGTGCTCTTGAGGAGCTTCGATGCCCCGCGCCGTTGCGATTGTTCTGCGAAGGCAACTGGTGAGAACTCGAAGATCGGGAATACGCATAGCGTTGAACTTGGTTGACAACGCCTGTGCGTATCGTTCACCCCTGGCACTTAAGACTGCGTCGCCGCCGATTTTGCCGAGTACATTGTACTCGCTTTCGCCGTGCTGCAATAATATCATTACTTAAATAGAACAAAGATAATGTTAAAACATAACAAAATGCAAAACGAATCCAGAAGGATTAGTTTCGGGATTTTACATTCCTTCCTTACAACGCATTTTTCGTACCATGATATTGGAATAAAGTATTAAACTATTAAGAACTTGCGTAAGTTCGCCGTATTTTTAATCACATTTTTTTCATTAACAATAACAAAACAATGTGTATCATGTTCAATTAAAATATTTGTCATCGTTACCACTTTTTATTATCTGTCTGATGAATTGTTTGTATTCTGCACGTCTGTGAAATGACTTATCTTCTAAGCCAACTTATCCAATGAACTTTTCCCTCATAATTATATTTTTAAATTGATCTGCTTACTCTTGAGAAATAAAGAGTGTGCGGTTTGAGATTGATGTCTCCAAGATATCCGAGCACCTTGGTTTCAATGTGACCGGAAACCTTGCAGGCCTCGATATCCATAGTAGCAGTGTCAATCTTAATTTTGGGGTAGGATTTCTCACACATAGGCTCGTACAATTCGGCATAATAAGCGATCTTCGAGCTTAGATATTCCGCGACTAAAACTGCATCCGCGTCGGCGTAATCAGCATTATGTTTCACGATTTCTTGTTGGTTATGCTGCTGCACCTTCGGGTCGTGACAAGCGCACTCGATAAAAAGAACGCGATAACCAAGTTGACCAGAGAAATAGTCATAGACTTCTGTGCGCTCTGCTTTTGTGATCAGCATAGAGTCGAGGATCTAAAAACAGGAGGCTTTATTTAACAGGAGTATAACCGTGATATATTGTAGTTTCTTTCAAACTAAAATTATCTAAATGTTCCATTTAATTGCCACGCAGTTTAGTCAATTAACCTCTTCAGTGATGATTTAAAATAATTGCGCGACTACTCATTGCTATTTTCTTTAAAGAGAAATTTGGAAAATAAAATATAAAATATATCTAATTTGTGTTTGCTATATGAGTTTAAAAAATACAATAGTTTGAGTAAATCACGAAGAATTTAATATTTTAATACGGAACTTTTTTCCGGGCATACTACTTAATATTAGCTAAGTGATTCGTGATCCCAATAAAAAGACCGAGGATCGTTTCCCAAGAATATCGTTGTAGACCTCGTGAATACACAAAGAAGTCCTGATGTCCTTGAATACTTACCGCTACAGAATTGCCGGATACGAGCCATGCCGCGCAATCTTGCATAGCATCTCTCTGTGTGAGAATTCTTATAGTGTTGCTGGCCGCATGATCCAGTTGGAAGAATGTGAGATCGTGAGATGTTTGGGCTTCAGGTTTTCTTCGATAATCACTCACGTGGAATACTGAAATGAAAAATTGTGATGTAGTTCTCAAGCTTTCGTGAAATTGAGCAAATACGCCTTTTTGCTCGATATTATAGTAAAAGTAAATATCGAGGACATGAATAATGAATACGATAAATTTTTTCTCACAGAGTTTATTTTATATATATTATCAATTAAATGATTCATTATGTATTTACCTTTCGTGGTTATGCCATTCCAGTTGAATCTGCGAGCAAGATTCTTTCCTATCTGGCTTTTTCCGCAAGCCGGTAAACCGCAAGTAGCTATGACAACTCCCGCGAATTTGCGCGATGACTTCGCTACTCCCAGCATTCTCGCGGCGGCCTTCTCTTTGCTGGGGTCTAAATGAAAATAGATAATGGAACATTTAAAACTATATCGCTGTATCTTATGTAATCACGCAAATTAACGATGCGTGAAGCTGTATCCTTTTGACTTGTTTGATATCTTAGAAAATTAAGAATACAACTGACGACACAATGTTATATCTGAGATATAAGAGAATGAATAATATACTAGCTCTGAAATGACGCAAGTATAGTTTTTGGGAATAACATTTTCGGGACAATAACTAAATATAATACCATTAGTCAGAGCTTCCCTGAATGAGACACTTTGCTCTATTAATGGGAATGTTTTGGCAGTACTTCGAAACACGAGCCGTACTAACGTGAAAATCATTAAATATATGTAATCCGCGCAAAATATAAAAGTATAACGTTCGAACTTGTGAGAATATAGTATGAAAACTCGTGCTTCTTGAAAATAACATTAATCGTAAAATGTTTACGACAGGTAAGCATCAAAGAAATGTGCAAGTACGCAAATAGGAGAATCTAACAATGTCGCGCGTCAATTATTATCTCGAATTTTTACGTTCGGATTCTTATAAAAACACTCTTGCGGAGACACCTGATTTATACAGAATATTCTAAAATATTATTATGTTATGCATGATGAAACATATTGTCATGTGCAGAAAAACAATCTTGCTATGATGCTCATTTTATATATATATATATATATATATATATATATATATATATATATATATATATATATATAAAATATACATATTCGTAAAAAAAATGATTCTAATGAATCTGTAAGGTTTGTGGAATATATTTCATAAATAAAACAGAGAAATATAATTTATATTTCCAAGCATTTAATAATTACCTGCTTAGTAAAACAAAGAACAATTACTTTGCGAAATATGCATAATTTTAAATTTTAGAATAAAGGACATAACTTATATAAAACAAATATTATTCTAAAAATTAATTTAACATATAAGTAATGTATTTCTAGTATCTCTCACAACAATTTTCTTGTGTGATTTATGCTCTCTTCATGAGGATAATTTGAAGATTAATATAAAAGGATAAAATTAATGATTAAATTAATTACCAATTTTCTGTTGCGAAGTATATACATAAAATAATATCGTTTTACCAAACGCACATATATTTTTACAAAGATATGAAGGTCGAAAATATTGTTAAATTGACTTCGAATCATTGTTGATAAGAACAAAAAATAAAAAAAAGTTTAACGTAAAAATCAATGTAAACATTTGTTTGTTCTAAACTTGTTCTAGACTCTGTATAATTTTGACGCATACTGAAATGTCAAATGAGCGGTCAATCGAATATATGATGCCTCATGTCTCCTACCAGGAGGGTAGGCTTTATATTTAGACATACGAATGCGCATGCATTTGTTTCACTTGGCCTTTCCCGTGCGTTGCCGCAGTCGAAGCCAACAATGGTTCATCTTTCAAACGCGGTAAAATTCCAATTACTCCGTTCACAAGAAGACAATTATTAATCTAACAATTGTACAAAAAGACAATTATTAATATAACAATTGCATAAGAGAAGATAGTTATTAATATAAATTAATCTAACAATTATTATTTCTTTAAATATTACAAATTTGCATTGTATCTAATTGTTACCAAATGTCAGCCGACAACATTAAGCGTTAAAAAACTACATTGATAAAAATTATGTTATTTTTATCAAATATTATGACAATAAAGAACAATTTGTTAATAATTTTATAGTTATGACTGTTGGATAACCCATATCGCGGTCACTTAACAGAGCGAAATATTATGAAATGGAAGATAACGCGGTAAAAAAGTCTAAAAATATGAAATATTTTTAGAAAGTTTATTTGATTGCCTCACATTTAAGTTCAAAGAGTTTGACTCTAGTGATCTAGTTTATCTTATCCACAAAAGAGTATTTTTAATTACTTAAATTACGTAAATTGCATTTTTAATTACTGCACGTGTAATGTGCGAAATCTTTTATCTCCAAGAGAAATTTTTCGTTTCCGGAAAACATGTTTTATCCCGTATATTCATACTTAATATATGCAACATTCTCGAAACTGCAAATTCTTGATCACTCGCAAAATACAAAAATTATAACTTCTGTAATAAGAGACGAATATGATTCAATCCCTGATAACGTAATGATAACGCTATCGATTTCTCAATGCCATTCTAGAACGATAAATCGAGTATACGTTGTGGTTTACATAGAATTATCACACAGCGTGAGGATTTGACTTTCAGATAGGGACGAATTGCTTTGCAAAATGCTATGCAAAAATAGTGCTACATCAAATATAAATTCATTTAACTCGCTTATTACAATGCAAAAGTTTTTTGCAATAGCAACTTGGCGAATAGATTTCAATTTAATTAACATATAAGTAATATATTATACCCATTTTTATCCAGTATACTTCAGTATACTACGATTCCTGCTTGCTCAGATCCCTTAGTGAATTTTATATTTTACGAAAAGTATACATTTTGACATTTATCTTTCTATTGTTATGATCGATAATTTTAATAAACAAGTGAATGTTTGTTTTGTATATAACTGATCTAACATGGCAAAGCTAAACATAGTTACGTATAATAAGCAGAACTCACAAATGCCGCGTTTACATTTGCACATGAGTTTACATATTATCCCTTAATATAGGCTTCGATTATATGCGATTTCACATTTAATAGTGCGCAATTTATTAACAAAATTATATTTCAAGGCGAATAATTATCGAAAAAATTACGTGAAACAATGTCATTTGTAACGCAAGAACAATATCGTAAATAAAAGTACGAATATTGTAACATAAACGAAACGGATGAGACCATCATTCCACGCTTGTATATTCTCGCGCGTTTGTGTTAACGCGTTGTATAAATCAAACTGTCATAAAGTTAAAGATTATTTATTTCTTTTTTGTATATCGATAATTGTTTGTAAATGTGGTTCTATATAGAAAGTAAAAGTAGTGAAGGTTAATTTTATGGATCACATCCACGTGTTTATTTATATTCCGTATAATTTTAGCTACCGCGTCTTCTCTCGTGCGTAGGTAATGAAAGTACAATAAAGATTCACGTATGTTTCTTTATAGAGCTTTATACGCGAGAGATTCGATATTATTAATTTTACGCGAAAAACGTAAGATAAACGTAAGATAAAAATATAGTAAAAACATAAAGCAAGCAGACAGCAGTGCGATATCGCAGACGGCGACCTCAATACTCGTTTTTTTCCTTTCACTCTTCATCTCCTTCGAATTTCATTAAACCGGCTTCCACGATGTAATGTCGGCAAAAACCGCGCCGTAGCGAGTTATCTATGAGTTATCTATGAGTTTATATGTTCTATGTGTGAGTTTTCAAATACCAAAATTTATAGGTATAAAAGACGAGATACATGTTTCCCATTTTTTTTATATCTGTCTCACTTGTACTTGATATATTCATTTGTATATTTTACAGAAACTAGTCAATTAATTTAACGGTGAAATTATGTTAAGTCGAGGAGAAATTCATAGCCGCTTAAAACCTTTTTTATCGTGAAATATACTAGTAAACATTGACAAAATAATGAAATAATTGCTTATATTAACAATTAATAATTTCATTTTGTGATCAAAATTTTGTCGAAATAGTGTCTGATTGACAGCTTAATACAAAAAGTGTAATTATGTTTTATATGTAGTGATTCAAACATTTCAGACGTTTTACGCGCGACGAATTTTAAATAGAAATATAACACGCAATGACAATATTTGCATTATAATTTGGACTTCGTAATTCTTTGCTGTGTGGATTATTTAAGGTTCTCTTTTATTCACTTTTGAATTACGTAACAAAGTGCTCTTAAATATCATAGAAGGTCTGACAAGCATCTATTTGGATTATCTGAACTGATATTGCTCATACATTTAAACAATCTTTATTAAAATTCAGTTATTTAAACATTTAGATAATCCATCTTTATCCGTTCTATAGAAACGAATATTAGAAAGCAATATCGTGAGAGAATATCGAGATTACATAAATAGATATCAACACCCTTCACGAATCGTCAAGCAACTCAACTCTTTATAAAACTTTACCTTGCCGTTGGTCTTCTGTATTAGGGACCATGTTAGCTGTGATGCCGGCTTTCAGGAGTATCTTATCCGTGTTGGGTGTCTGCTTCCCAACTAGATCAGTTTTTTTCTCTTGCAAAACACCGGCTTGCAGGGCAAGCTTCCTGAGCGCGATACAATAACCCAGTAACGGAGCCGCCAGCAGGTCAAAACATGCAATGACCCAGGGCATAACCGAGAGACCCTTATTAGGGAGGAAAACCAGTTTACCGGGCACCAGTTTTCTTTATTCTCTCCCCCTCCCTCTATCACTGACTCCTTTTTTTATTAATAAATAAATGGGTCTATGATTGATTAAGATATCACTTGGAACAAAAGGAAGCCCGATTACGTCCCACTGCTCCAGAAGGCTAAACAGCCACCTCTACTCTAATCGTATTCAGTCTGCCTCTATTTCCTGGTTAAGCTTTCGGCTAAAGTTCTTCCGAAAAGTGGTCGCTGCTCGTGTGCCGTATTATAGACAGCAGATCCTCCCTCATTCCAATTTGCTTGATCCTCACCTCTGGAGCCAGTTTGCGGGCTTCCTTGGGATCGGTCAGGGAGAAGCCCAGGTCTCTAACTCGAGGCCGTGCGTGATTCTCTATCACTCGCAACTCTTGTTCCTCTCGCAACCTCCGCTATCTATTGATGATGTTCTCGCAGCTGGTGTCGTTGCTAGTCGACGGCAGTGCGCGCGCGCAATAGAATATACCTGCTGGTAATTTACATAGTAACAGCGACGCCTTACTCCAATCTCACCGATCGCTTTTCCCCTTCAAGATTCTAAGTTTTACTGTCGCTGATCACTAATGCGCGATTTTCCTGCTTCCCACTTCTATTTTGCTTTGACAGAACCAGATGGATGTGTTATCAACGTAGAATACATTCACCCAGCCGATAGGGCTGGGAGAAATTTCAGCAGATGTTGTCCGGAACTTCTCGTGGAACTTCTCGTAGAACTTCCCACGATACTTCTCGTAGTACTACTACGTAATTCGCCGGTTCTTCAGCGTCGATCAGAGAACACGCTCTATCGCGGTGAAAGCGCGAATACGTTCAATTACGATACGTTCGAACGAGGATAGACTCCGCTTGCGAACCCGACCGGTCGATATGCGCTTCTCGACTCTCTGACGACTAGATGTCTGGTTCCACCGCGGCTTTTAGTAGCATCGACCAGAACCCACGAGTGAGCGTACTTCATCGTGGTGAGCCAATGGGATATCAACTAGCCCCTCTACCACGACGTCATATAAACTTGCGCGCGTTGGGCAAATATTCGCTTTTCCTCGTGGTTGTAAATCGACATTGTGCTATTCGTCGCGAAAGTCGTGAGCGATGAAAATTTATCAGTCTAAAGTACTCGCAAAGTCGTAAACGATGAAAAAAGAATCTTATCCATTGCATATCATTCAAATTATCCCCAACTTTTACTTTCCTAGACTTTTGCTGTTAATAATTCTTGCTTCTTAATGCTTTGCGTCAAAGTCAGACATTTTCATAAATTTAAGCACGTCAATATTCAACCGCGTCCGGTGTTACTACATAATGATCCCGACGACCTACGCTATTGACGACAATCTAACACGTGCTTGATTGAAATCATAAATTGTATATGTTACGCCTGATGAAACTGCCTCGCATTTTTCTTGGCTCATCGTGAGTTCAAAGTCCACGGTTATTTTTCCTATTTTCACGTAATCGTTTGGCAAACGACCGTTCAGGCGCGTACACATTCGGTGTCATTGAGTTAAATGAACAGACGTAGGACCATTAATGTCTTGATCTGTTTGGTTACATCATATACGCCAATATGTCGAGCAGCTTCTTCGTATATACGCAACTTGAACTTTGGAACCTTCTTTTAGTACCGCGTCGAAATGACGTTTTGTGTCTTTCCGAAGAAAAATGACTGTTACCAGGAAAATTCTGCGCGTATGTAGTTCGAATTAATATTAGAATGTCGAAATATAAGTGGAGCAATTTTATATGTGCAAACAGTATTATTTTTGCGATAACCTTGTGAAATAATCAATTAAAAGTTCGCGCAAAAATACGAGGGCAATCATTTGCTATATATGTTTTTTACGAAATATCTATAAATAAATGTGCCCATTCCAAAGTGTTAGCGGGAGGAAACTTGGCCAAAAGATATTCTAAGAACGACTATTGCATTGGAAAAAAGGGAAGACTGTATTTTCTATTATTTCTTCTTATGACGCTTGGTAAAACCCTTAAGTGTTTCCTTCTTCTTCTCCTTCTACTAAAGAGCTACCACAAAAATTTACAGTTTAAATTTTTATTTTTTTAGCACGAACATAATTTTTGTTAAACATTATACAAATACTTTTGCTAGTGCATAAACTACATAAAGTTTGGAAACATTTGATGTTTTCGAAAACCGAACCAACACAGAAAAGAATATTTCATCTGTAATTCCTGTTTACTGATAGCTGACAATAAAACGTATCTGTGTGCCCAAGTCATAAGATTTTTTTTACTACATCTACGTAAAGTGTGACGTCAGAAGCTTAACTTATTAAATGATAACAGGGAACCACATGAAACGTGTCTGTCGCTGCACGTGTGTGATGCATACTGCATCGAGGCATGATAAAGGTCAGACATGACCTAGTGGAATGTAACAAAACGAAATCACGAGACCACAATTGCGATTAGCAAGTGTTCCATTGTAATAATACGTTAGCATGCATCCGCGAGTATAGCACATTATTCACTAATATTTAATAATATGTTACAAAACTTATGAAATTTAATGTTTATTTTATTTTTATGTTTCATTTGCTCGGCATATTTTCTTTTTTTTATTTTTGTTGAGTAATTTACCCTTTAATTCTTCAATATAATATAATATATATATATATATATATATATATATATATATATATATATATATATAAAATCATAGTTGTGCAAAATACTCTTTCGACAAGCTTCACGAGAGTTTATTGATATAATTTGCGTTATTAGTTAAAGGGTCAATTTGAATTCTAGCATTCTCAACGAAGCTCTATATCGAACTAACTCGAAAGATGATGGACAGGTCTGTACACAGATTTTCCGTAGCCCTATGCGGTTCCCTGAAATTATATTAATATCACTAAATTATAAATTATATTAATTCCTCGAACTACTATTTTTTAAATATCAGATAAAAGGAAATTCATATAATTTACTTTCGATATTCTTTCATGTTCAGAGTATGTACGTTCTATTCAGAGAGGAAATTCTGCCATGTAACTCACTCATATCTACGAATTAATGAAGACGTTACGTAAATTGGGTTAATTTTCTGATTCCAGAATTTATACACTCGTGAATCTAATTTGTGCTAATAAAGTATATTAAAAAAAAAACGTTAAGTCAATACTAAGTTTGGTGAAAAAGATAACGAATAATTAATGAAGAATTCTTCAATACCTGAAGATTCGAATCTTAAGGTATTGAAGAGACAAATGTGTATAAAAATGATACGTGACGAAAATTAACTGTTTAAAACATTATAAGAAATTTGTTTTTCTTTTTTCTAAATAAATTATGGAATTGGGGTCAAATAAGATATTAAAAATATATTCTATCTTTAAAATTTTAAAAAATATAACATTATTTTATCTTATTATTTACTTGACTTTTTAATTATTTCTTTTATCTATGAATTCCTTAATTAATGTGTAATGCAATGCATATTAATCGTATATAAGACATATATTCGATACGTATCTTTTCTTTAATATAGATAACGAAATATACGGAAAAATTATAAAAGAAGCAACAAACATAAACGAGTTTTTTTATGTTTTTAAAAAGTATTTAAAATAAGAGAAAAAATATTTTAACTTTGATTTAGCTTCAGATCCGAAGGAGACAAAGCCTATTATTAACTAGGTCTATTCTGAAATAACTATGGACAGTTCTATATTGTCCATAGCATATTTAGCTTTAATTGTGGCTGCCTGCTTCTTAGTTTTATTTGTCTCATACGAAGGCCACGTATAATCTAATTTCACCTTGAGTATCAGATGGTCACATTTAACGCTAAGTATGCGCTCAGAATACAGACATATGACGCTACATACAGACCTGCGAGTACTGTAGTCCATTAACCGCAATAGTGCTATACCTCTAGAATGAAGAATAAAGTGAGAATAAAGGTAGGTCATCCGGCCAGTGTTTCTAAAGAATAATCTTGAGCGAGAATATAAATCGATATAATGGGATTGCGCGTGTAAATAATATCAAGAATAATATCGTCAAGATCCTATTGACACGTCATTGTTGTTAAGAAAACCAAGAATATTGTTGAATGCCTTAGAGAAATTAATTAAGTGATAAAAATATATTTATTAAAAGTTACATATTCGCTATGAAATTGGAAATGTAACATTTGGAAGTGAATTACGACAATGATTTATATAAGTCTAATTATGTAATGTATCATAAGTACCAAAAATGTACAAAAACGTTATAACGATTCCATATATATAGCGAATATAATCATTTCTCCACATATGAAACAGACATCATGACTATTTCATCTCTTTCATTATATAAACACAATTTTCATTGTTTTATTAAATATCTATGTGCATATATATACATAGCACAATTTGTGCATAGCGATATGAAACAATAGAGGCTACGAAATATAATACAAATGCATAAGACTATTGTATATGTAATGTACAATTATATTTGGAAAATGGAATAGGAAATATATTATTAATGCAACTGTACATCAATTAATTTGTACACAATTATTCAGAAAATTCCAATTGAATGTGCAAGACCTGCATAAATATGTAATGTCATCGCACCCATGAAGAAGGTGGTGATTGCCTTAATAATAAGTGTTAGCCATGGACCAGCTAATAAAATTGATGAAAGGAAGTCTAACATGAGCGGTCTGTACACTGTCAGAAAAAGCATACTAATTACTACAGGAACTAAGGCGCGCCGTAAATCATGTCTGGACCACAACCAAACCAACGTTGCAGTTGTTATATGTTGTACCTGTTAGATAAATGTGACATAAATTTCAAGAATATTATCTCTAATTTCTGTACATCAAACATGAATAACAAATTCTTACCAAGTTGATATTTGATTCAAGACTTTTCTGGATGTATTTCCAATCAAATTCTGCACCACGTGCACCAACCCAAAGTAACAGAAATCTTGTAAGCAGAACTTCTGCCCCTGCCCATCCTATACCAGCAGTTAAAACTTTGGCATGACCTTTACCTGGAATACTATTTAGTACTAGCAAAATTCCTACCAAGTCTGCCAGGTCAATGGAAGACTTCAAGAACTCCTGGAAACATATTTCTCCATTAATTAGGAAACAAGATTTTAATATGATTTTGCAATATCTAACAATACATCTAATAATACATACTCCAAATATATCAAAACCTTCTTCCCCAACATTGTCAGCTGTTGGAAAAAATGTGGCAAGAGCCAACATTTTTACAAGCTGCGTAAAAATGTAAATACCACCTGCTTGGATGCATTTCCAAAAAGCGCCGTATTCCGACCTGAGAACGATTTATTTTACTATTTACACTATTAAATGTAGGTTAAGATCAAATTTTTTCTTGATATACTTACAGGCCAGAATATTTATAAGTCAAATAGTAGGGTACATATACCAAAGCTAAACAGTTTCCAAAATGATATAACGTCATTTTTTTAGTAATGTTCAGTCAATTTGTGGTGCTCTCCCTAAGGAATTAATCAGTCATAGTATTATCCATAACACACTATCATTGTGAACAATCGCGAACTGTGATGACAGTGACCTAGAGATACAACTCGTTGCTTTTATTAGTTCTAAAGTCTTTGCTACGAGTCGCTACTGTTGCAGCATGATTCGTGTCTGTTATCAGAGAGAAGAATGAGAGCGACCACCAGCTTGATTTCAATGGTCAGAGCTAGGCGCATTATCGAGACGCCATCTAACAAAGTGCGTCTTTACTACGTTAAATACGTTTAGACGTATTTTCGCAGTGGTAACGATAAAATACGCTTAGTTCGTGCCCGTTGTATTTCCGTACAATGATAGGTTACATGACATTTTCCCGAAAACTAGATGGAAAAATGTTGATAAAAAAAAAAACTCCTAAGCAACACAATTTTAATTTCTGCAGGTCAGTCACATTGTTGAAATAGTAAGTCCATGAATTTTGCGGAATCGTTCGTCATATGCGTGTGTTGTGTCAAATAATAAATATTAAAATATTATGCCTAGGGGTTAATATATAATAAATATTATGCCTAGGGGTTTTTGTGGGTACCAACATTTTCTCATCTAATTTTCGAGAAAATGTTGTGTAACTACTAGTGTAGTGTTTTTACTGTAGATAAAGAGGAATTTTGTCTATGCTATGTAATATACCATCATTATGACTTGCCATATTCAAGACTAGCAGTCAATGATTTTCCTGGTATCTCTGTAGGTAAAGAGGAATTCTATCCATTACATGTCAAACCATAAGAGCAATTTAATAAAAATTTTGTCGATATACATAAAAAACGTGTAAATTATGTGAAAATCTTCTTAAAAAGTGTAAATTATATTTCTCAAGATTAAGACTAACACAGTATATTGTTATGTATATTTGATACTTTTGTTTGTTGTGTGAAATTATTGAAAAAAAAATCATGTTTGGTTACTAGGTTATGAAAAGTGCCGTGAAAAGTATATATGTATAAATTTTTCTATATAATACATTTTTTATATTTTTATCAAGCTTAAAAGCGGAGATTATATTTGAAAAGTACCTATTCGTTTATAGTGATGTCTCAAAGCACAGATTGTTTACAATTTCGAAATATAAATTGCATCGCAAAATTTGACAATTATAATAAAAAAAAGCTTTATTAAGTGTATTGCATGCGCATCCTAACTGTTGTTATATATTTTACCAGTTGGCCCTTTGTAGGGAGAGATTTTCCCTGAGGCTGTATTATATAGCCCCTCTTTTATATTTTAACCCCTTTGAAAAGGGTACCATCACCCCTTTCCCTATAAAAAGGGGTAGCTGCTAAAAAAGGGTGTTGCAGCAGTAGAAGTATTGACTACGTTCCTTAAGCAGTGTGTGTAACACACATAATATATATTAAACATTTTATATATTTTATTCTAAATAAGTATTATAGAAGTATAGAGTGTGCAGGAATTTTCATGTCATTTAAACTGAAATTTACAAATAGTATCAGTAGATCAAGTACTGACTAGAATACTGTGAATCTCTACTGCTAGTAGCTGCTGGTTGGGTCAAATTTTTCCCCAGTTTATAGTCAGACGTTAGGGTACAACCCTTGATTCGCAGGATTCAGATTACTCCGTCAGAGCATGCTCCGTCTTCCTGAGACTGCTGACTGCTATCCCTCTCCAACGTTCCTGGCAGAAGATATGCTCCTAGGGATTGGTTAAGAGCTGGTGGTGGCTGGCCAGGATCGTATTGGATCTACCCCACAAGTTGCTCTACGTTGGAAGGGTAGCTCAGTTTGCCACAGGCTGTCGTTGAGTCTGTTTCGTGCTTTTGATCAAACAGCTGTCAGGGTGTCAGGATTATTTAAAGCAGTGATAATTTTGAAAGTGTGTAATAGTTTAAATATATATATACTAGACTATAAGAAATAATTTACATTTATCCAAAGTACATAGTGAGAAATCAGTACTTTATTTATTATGCTTTATTTTCTTTGTATATTTATATTCTCATATATATTTTTGTATTATTTTAATAATACTTTAAGAATACCCGTGTCATAATCTAGAATTTCACTAAACATGAGGTTTAAAGTGTAACTGTTCTTATTTTCATTGAATAAGATAAATGCTTAAATAATAATATGTGGGCATACTTTGTGCACTTGCCAGTAAAGATTTTTCTACTAAATAATATGGACATGTATATTTTGGAAAACATCACAAATGTTGTGTATTATTAAATTATTTGTAACTGTGCAATATTGAAATTATTCTTTATTTTCTAATGCTGTTGGAGCAAATACAGTAATATTTCTGTGACTCAGAAATGATTTCTCCCCTTTTCTATATGTTCAACCCTTCACCCTTTTTTATTCTTTGGGCAAGGGAAAATATCCACCCCTTTCATCTAACCAACCCCAAAAAAAGAATGCTTTAATGCTGTATACTGTAGTGCCAATGCACTATATATTATTTATGAAATTAAATTTATTTATTAAATGGATCATCTTGAATTAAATCAATAATGAATAATTATAAATGTACTGAAATATTATATATATGGAAATAATATATGATACATATAATTTATGTAATATAATGAAATAGTAATATAATGAAGATTTCTCTATCCATATTAAGATTTTTTTAAAAATAAATATGATAAATATGATATCAATGTGAAGATATAAAATTGTGTTTTATCTACTAGGGGAGAGAGTGAAAAATGGGTGGAGCTTACCTTCCCTACTACTTTCCATATAAGACTGGCAAAAGGGTAGTCAGTTTTATGGTGGAGCTCAAGGGTGAAAGGATGTGTAGGGTGATAGCTTTTTCAGAATTCAAAACAATTTTTTTAGGTATTTCATATGCTTTTAGTTACTTTACAACATAAATACAGTATGATTTTATTACTTTATTTTAACTAGTTTTATAATATAAACTGTATATTCTCCAAATCCATTATTAAGTGACAGAATTTAAGTGAGATGTTTCAAGTGTGTAATGCATAATTCTAATTATTTGTGTGTATATATATATTCTAAAGGGTATACTATACAAGCAGAAGGTAAGATAATTTATTTTTTATTAATTGCAGAGTTTTCTTTTAAAAAAGTAATTTTCTTCCATGTTCAATTAGTAGTATAGTAGTATATTAGTAGTTAAGTAGATTTTGTTTACCACAATTTGTAAGTGTGGTAAATAAAACTATTGTAGTTAATTTTATGTTGTACAATGATGTGATTTATTTGGCTAATATTATTTATTTCAAAATACTCTATTTTTTATATGAATTTTTTCAACTTTTCTTTTTTCAACTTTTGTACTGCTTAAGACGATTTATTAATTAACGCATTATCATTCGTCTTGATAAGTTTTTATAAAGATATTTTTTCATAAATTATTTCTTAAATTTTTTATTATATACCAAAATACATTTCTATAATAAAATGGCTTTTTATATTACATATTTATATTATTATATTAATAATATTAGTATTATATAATATGTATGTTCTCTATATTACATATTACATATTTCTGTATTTTTGAAAATATTGATTTTTTGAGGTTCCAAGAGACTCGGATACAGGATTCATTTGACACTCGTACGATGGCGCTACAACTGATTTCTCACAGCGTGTTTTCATCTGAGCAGACGTAATTGTAGTATGTCATAATTGCAATAGATGACAGGCTATTGACTTTATATTTTGCAAAACAATTTTGCAAATCTTCATTATAATGTCCAAAGTAATTTTTTCTCGTAACACAAATAATGATTTAATAATTAACGTTTTTAATGATTTTAACGATATAATTAACGATTTTAATTTAACTTTTTTTTACTAAAATATTAAATAGATTAATATAACAAGTTAAAGAAAAAGTTACATTTATTTATAACAAGTTAAAGAAAAAGTTACACTTATTTATAACATTTAATTAACATTTACTCTACGTGTATTCTGTTATTATAAAAACTATATTATAAGATAAAATGTTGAAGTCTTCTCACACTAATATTCGGTAACTTCTTCTTTATGATAAAAAAAACTGCTTGTTCCTCACATTTTCACTAAGTGCGTACAAACGGCTCGTTTGTCCAAACTTGAAGCTTCCCAGTGCTTCTTTTGGACTTACCTTGGATTTAGATTCGAGGGATTGAATCCTGGGAGTGAGGACACGAACGTCTCTCTTTCATCCCGAAGTGTGTACGCCTTTGTCGTTTCCCTTCTTCTTGACGGACCCGCGCTCTCGGCAAAAGCGTGTTTGCATTTCCTTCCCGGGGGATGCTTATGGGGCAGCGCGCAATTTCGGAAAGCCGATTTCAATTCCGCTCTCCTTTTTACAGGGAGAAACGAAAGCACAAGTGCGAGCCGTGCGGGATTACGGCAATCGCGTAGACAGGCCCGTGAACACGTGCGAAAATCTCGCGTCTCGACGTTTGCACCCACAGCATCGATCGTTCTTCCCGTTTAGCGCTCCTCGTCGAGAAAATCGGATCTCTCCACTTCTTCCTTCATTCCTCCGGTAAGTTACGCTTGACTTACAAAGAAAATGAATTTTGTGATGTTGTGATATCTCTGATTTATCATATAAGTTTGACAGAAAATTTGTCAAGAAACATGAATAATCACGAGCATGTAAAACTCGTCAAAGAATTTGAATTTTACTTTATGTGTATTGTTAGATATCGTTTATATGAAAAATTACTTCTTCGTGAAATTTTAAAAGAAAACATTCTGTTCGCTATTTTTCTTACATAAAACAAAATATTACATAAACTGTTACTACGAAATTTATTTATATATGTCAGTTAGATTATTCGCACATTAAGACAACTAATCTTGGTCAGACGTGTCTTCCATTGATGTCAGGACGGTGTATAACGATGAGCTTCGTTTCCGTTTCCGGTCTTCATGATTTTCGCGCCGTCAACTCCATTCTTCCGTATTCTGCCTCCGTATGTTAGCCCCGTCTTCTCCCTTGCACATAGAAGGTTTCCGCCCCTTTATGTCGATTCTCGAAAACTCGATCCTTTAAGGGTCCTTGTCATTTGTAGTTCTCAACGTCACCCGTTTCTTGCACGAGAAAGCTGATCTTTTCATAAATATCGCTCTTACATACACAATTTTGCACGCGAGCACACAGCATAAGAAAAATGTTAAAGGGTATATTTTAAAGTAAATATAAAAGTAGAAAAAATAATAGTAAAATTCACAGAACTACTTTAACTATCAGATGAAATTTCTCGTGAAAAATTGTAGAAAATCGCTTGTTCTCTGGACATCCACGTATCGCCAAGTTGTCCCAACGCTGGGACGCGAGAAATTTCTTGGAACGATGTTTTCCATTCCCCGTGCGCAGCGCATAAACACATTTTTATATGACAGAGAAGTTGATGTATCTTTTCCACTCGCCACTGCGGGAAGGAATAACGCCCTTTGTTCAGCGCTCCTGGCAAAGTCGTTGATATTCCACTGGCGCCTTCATCCTTCTGGGACAGCCTCTCCCATCACCTACCCTTACTTTTTCTTTTACTGTTTTTTGGTTCTATAATACTTAGAAGGAATACTAGTACGGAGAAACGAATCCCGGATTGCAATGTAGGAGTTTAATAGGACATAGGTTGAATCGAATGGAAACCTTTAAGCGGGTTTCTTCAAAGACCTCCAAACCACGCAAGAATCCGAAAAATATTTCTAAGATGTCTGCGAAGTTTCGGCATGTCGTAGATATTTTTTGAATTTTCGTGTTTAGTTTTTGTGGAAATTACATTTATTACAAAAAGAAATTTCTGTTCATGTGATTTTTGCCCTCAAGATTAAAAAAATTTTAATTTGCGTAAAAGATACAAATATATACAGTAGTTTTTATAAATTAAAAAAATTTGTAGTATATGATCTCGTTATATCAGACGTGTGATTGCTTTCTATCATTTCGGTCACGGTTTAATACATTGAAATGTAAAAGGTGACAATCATGATTGCACGTTGTATTAGTATTCTACTAGCGGCATATCTAGATTGCACAAAACGATCGTATCTATAGTAATGCAAACGCAGGATGGAGGGAGGACGATTTCAATAAGACTCTCATAATGAATATTATTTTATAAAATGAAAGTATTTAGAAAGAATTTTGGAAGCAACACGTGTGCATAGAATATAAAGCGAAGCTGTATTTCTGTCGCCGTGCACAGCAGGAGGGCGATTTCGCTGCCGTTGAATATTACTCAAGTCGTTAAACATTATTAAAGAATGCTTTTAACATTCCAGATATCGTTAACTTGTTTGTGTTTCGGTTATCGTCGCGATCCGGAGCTAAGGACTGTCCTTAAATATGCCGTAAACGGGTTGGAATGAAATAGAGAAAAGAGGCGACCGAGAAAGCGAGTAATCTCTAACTTTGTAAGGGTGCCTCGCGCTTCGCCGGCTGAACTGCGACCAATAAAAACTTTACAGCCCCGTAATGAATGCAAGAAATAATTATCTCATGAATACATTAGTTTTAGTATCTCCCGACACGGACACGGCCCGTAAAAGCGGCATTGGATATCTTGACCTACGATTTCCAGTGCGTGCCTGCTTGCCTACGATCCTTAATCGCTGCTCGCTCGCCCTTTTTCTCTTTCTCGGCGTCTGCCCATCTCCTTACCTTCTTTCCTTCCTTCCTTCCTTCCTTCCTTCCTTCCTTCTTTCTTTTTTGCAATCGATGATATCTTATCGAAGAAAATGTATCATGCATCAAACGTTCTTTCCGTAACACGTTCGTCGAATCAGTTTATGAAAAATTGACACACTGTTTTCGATATGAGTGAATCGTTCGTCGATATGAGTTTCATCGTTTTTTACCAACGTATGGCATTTGTCCAATGTCCTAACGGTTGTAGAAATATTGTTGATGTAATAACAGCTGTTCCCTTTCCTGTTTTCGCGAATCCAAGCGCTTAAGTAACGATAAACAACGCGCGGATGATATAGACAGATCGCGTGGGAGATGCATTTGGTTCAGGAGGAGGGCCGTTCGTTTCGGCTATATCAGTGGAAACCCTTTATGTGGATATCCTGACCTGGTAGAGGAGGGTGACGGGGGGAGGATGTCAGTTAGGTAGGAAGGGAGGTACGCGTCGGTGCTGTGGCACGGAGTGATTGATCGTCGCCTCGCGACACCTCTGTGTTCTCGTAGAGTGGATAAAGGGGTGGAAAAAGGAGTGGAAACCCTTTCACGCTTTCACGGATCAGTCACAGGATCACGTTCTCGGACCATCCCCTCGCCCCTTGGTACACGAGACATGCATCACCCTGCCATCCACCTCCTCCACTTCCCTGACTTCTACGTTTGCTCGCGTCGATGTCGCGAGATCGAATCTGCAAACTTCGCGCGAAGGAAATACCTCGTCTCGCGCATTTCGTCGATATCACGATTCGATATTCATCGGCAATATAAATTTTTAAAGATTTTTATATTTAGACAATACTTTGATAAGAGTATTTAAATGATCAATAAAAAGTGAAAAATTCTGCATCTCCTTTGCATATTAAATTGCTTCGCAATTTTTAGACATTTTCAGCGATGGCGATTTTCATGCTTACGGCGAATCTATATGATCACGTTTGCAAAAGAACGGTGCGAAGAAAATGTCGCTATCATTTACGACGCGCATGCTTCATCGGAAGCGAACGGGTAGACGACAGCGGCTCATACATCAGACACCTAATTCCTCCTTTCGCTCAAGTGTTAACTCTTATATCTTATCCATTTAGAAGTTCCATTTGGCGATGTCCGTGGGACCGGTCATCTTGTCGTTCCTAAATTGACGAGCCATTACGTGTCGTTGGTGTTTTCTCGCACAGAATTATCCGGTGAAACCAATAACTTTACCAAAGAGTTATTCAAGCGTACACTCCATCTTAACTTTTATGATTTCTTTGATGGATTTTGATTATCGGGCCTCAAATAGACCGAGGAGCCTTTTAGAATTTACTTCCTATATAATTCTTAAATATAGTTATTTAATTTTTAATATTATTTGATTATGTAGTATGTATTATCATACAAAAA